CCCCCCCCCCCCCCCCCCCTCCCCCCCCCCCCCCCCCCCCCCCGCGCAACCTGCATGCAGGAGCCTTTCTCCTGGGAGGGATCCTCTACTCGTGGCAGTTCCCCCATTTCAACGCCCTGAGCTGGGGCCTCCGTGAAGACTACTCCCGCGGCGGCTACTGCATGATGTCGGTCACGCACCCGGCCCTGTGCCGGCGCGTCGCTCTGCGCCACTGCCTGGCCTTGATCGGACTGGCGACGGCGGCGCCCGTCCTCCAGGTCACCACGTGGACCTTCCCCGTCATCTCCCTCCCCATCAACCTGTACATTTCCTACCTCGGCTTCCGGTTCTACACGGACGCGGACCGGAAGAGCTCCCGGAAGCTGTTCTTCTGCAGCCTGTGGCACCTGCCCTTGCTTCTGCTGCTCATGCTCACCTGCAAGCGGCCCCCGGCTGCGGGCGGTGCGGGGGGAGAGCCTCGGACTTGAAATCCCCGGGGGCGTGTGGGGGAAAAAAACCAAAACCAAAAAACGCGTACAGGGAGACGCACATTGTTTTTTTCTTTTCCCTTTGCGGTGAGAAGAATATTTTGGTAATTCTGGAGCTCCAGAAAGGGAAATTCCTGGGTTTTAGTACAAGATCGTAAAATGATTTGGTGCTCGGTGATCGCCCAATGATTTTTTTTTTTTTTTAATAATAACGTCCAAAATGCTCCCCAAATAAGAAATAGGTTGGCTCAGGTGATGAATACAAAGAGAATCTTTTTCCCTCGAGGAGTCTTTATATATTTGTTCCTCCAACACCTCTGTTGTTTTTCTTCCTCCTGTGGATGTACAAGTGCACCTCTTCCTTTTCTGGCCACACACGCACACACGCACACGCGCGCACACTCCCCACCTGGCCAGATGCCTGGAGCACTGGGACTCTGTCTGTGGTCCTCTCCTCAGGTCCTTGGAGGGCCACGTCGGAGGCCATGCGCACTGCCCACCCTCCCTGTGACTGAGCCAGGGGCCCCGGCGCCAGCTTTTTCTCAGATATATTCTCAGCCACATATTCCCCCAAAACAATAATAGAATACCAAGGATGCACTGCTGCTGGACTTTCGAAGGGAGAATTCCAAACGGTTGCCTAGGGGACCTCGGGCAGGACCGCCAGCCCCCCGGCCCACCCCCATTACGTATCCGCATTTCAACAACTCCGAGGAATCAAAGGCATCTTTATAGTTCACTTGAAATACAGGAGGCGTCTGGAGCATTTCCTTCTGGAAGGGTGGCGCCAGACTTCACAGCAGCGGTCCATCTGCCTCTGACCTGTTACTGTCCCCCTCCGGCCACCGCTGCCCACCGGGCAGGGAAAGCCCAAAAAAGGTGAGCCGGCCTAACCAGCCACGTAGCTCACATAGTTCTTGTCCCTTTGGTGAAAAACACATTTCTCTCCAGGTACCTTCTGAATTCAGAAATCAGCCCCCACGCGTCCAATGGCCATAAGAGCCAGAGGCTTGGGCTGGACTCCTGGTGGGGGTGCATCCGGTTCCGGGAGTTGTGCGAGTTAACCTGTAGCCAGGTGTGGCCTCAGTCACCTGTGGTTCCTTCCATCCGTCCTTCACCTACGCCACTAGTCTGCTGTCGAACCCCACTTGCTGGAAGGTCTTGATGCTTAACAGGATGTTTGCATTACTCCATCTCCAGGGCACTGTACTGCCCCGTAGGAACTCATTTCGGGGAGTTTAAGCAACATTCAGACGGTCCTGCAATGTGCCTGTTCTCAGAAATTTCTGAAGCGACTGCAGAGACCCTCTGACCCCTGTTTCTACTTATCTGCAATATTACCTCTTGGCTGTATCCAGCTTCTTGACTGTGGGGAACATGGCATAGGAATGTCTGCAAAGAACATCAACACCTTGTTGCAGGCTTCAAATTTGTAAAATGCCCCCATTCTCTTCTCCTGCCCCAATAAACCGGTATGTAAGAACAGAAGCATGTGCGAGGTCCTTTCTTTAAACACCTTGTATGGGGTTTGCACCGGTCCTGGCCGACTTGCTAACGTTTGACTCACTTTTATGAGCTAGCAGACGATTAGGACGCAATCAGCATTTCTGTGTCAAGGTGGTGGAAGTGAACCCACTGGATTTTATTATTATTATTATTTTAGTGGGAGAGAGGGAAAGAGCAGGAGGGGGGGGCAGAGGGAGAGAATCCCAAGCAGACTCCCGGCCCCGCGTGGAGCCCGATGCGGGGCTCGATCTCAAGACCCCGAGATCATGACCTGAGCCGAAATCAAGGGTCAGATGCTTAACCGACCGAGGCGCCCAGGCGCCCCCACTCTTGATTTTTAATACCTGTCCACTCCAAAAAATAATAAGCTTAATGGTTATTAAGAAGAGGAAGGGCCATGACCCTCCCATCCTCACCCTCCCTTCAGTTTGGAATCCCTCAGTCTCTCCCTTCTTCCTCGAAAACCACCGCAGAAATCATCCTCAGGGCCCTCCTAGGCCCGTCATTCTCCTGCTCGGAAAATACCAACGGCTTGCGTACCATCCCCACCAGGCAGATGAAGTTCGAGCTTCTCACCACGCGGACCAAGTTTTCTCTCCGGGGATCTTGGATGTGAAGCCACCTCGAGGATTTCCCGCCACGCCCCACACCTCCCTGAGGACACCCTGTTCTCGGAGAAGCCCCCCCACCACCTCCCCAAACCCCTGCCCCATAGGTCCCAGTGTGGAACGAGGATTTCAAGCTCCAGTGACCGCCCCCCCCACCGCGCCGCTGTCCCCCAGGCCCCAGGATGTTGCTCACTCACCGGGAGGCCTGGGGCACCTCGTTTCTTCACACCTGACCTTGACCACCTTTCCTAAGGACTCCGTGCTCCCCATCAGCCTTCCCCAGGTGAGTGAAGCCTGTTCTTTAATGGGGTGTCCTTGGGAAGTCTTTGCCTATATAACAGCTCCCTTGGGGTGTCACTTAGGCACATGCACGCAGTATGGCCTCATGGGACCCAAAGTTAAGTAAAAATTTTTAAAAATCTCTGTTGTTTGCTTCCCCTGGCACGTCGCAAGCTTACCCTTCTCAAGTGCAGGACCCTCCTCCCCCGGGGAGCGCCTCCCACCCCGCCCCTGAATTAGTGGTCAGGAGCACAGCCTGGAACATGCTCTCTGGACTAATCAGTTTTCCTCCGGGTGCTTCAGGCCACGGCTGCAAGCACAGCACTAGGCCCCCAGGGGCCCTGATGGGGTAGGGGCCACACGGGTGGGGGGAGGGGCTTGAGCTATGAAACGGGGTTCCACCAGGAGGCCGATTATTCTGGAACACAGCAAACGAATGAAAGGGGAAAAGGACGCGTCCAGCCACTTCATTATTATATTTTTTTAAAAGCATGCTTCTTAGCACAGTATCCCTTCTGACCCTGGGGAAATGGTACCAGCCTCCTTTAATTTCAGGAAAGCTACTGTATCAGTCATAAGGATAAAACCACATTTCACCAAAGGTTCCGACTCTGGAAGCCTGCAGCTGCCCGGGGAATGCTTTGCCTGCTCCCAGGATCCACTTTTGTCCTTTCAAAAATACAAACGGGCTCCACAGAAACACCTTTCGATACATGCGCTTTGAGCCCCCATTTGCCTGTTCTGGAAGAGAAAAGGCAAAACTGCCGAGAGCCGCGCTTGGCTTTGACCCTCGGTCCGCTAGTTCACCCTGGTTTCTCCCCACCCCGCCGTCATCCTCCCCTCCTGTGTGCTGTGCTAGGAAAACAGGGACCCAGCACTTCTCTGCCAGGCGGCGGTCCTGGGAGCAGAGCAAAGCTTTTCCTGCTTGCTGCCCCTGGTGTGACAGGAGGCTCACTCCTGTCTCTGCTGGAGCTGGGGTCCCTGAGACCCACTTCTCCCCGACTCCCTGATGCGCCCCAGGTGATAGGATGCTTGTAACTGACCGCAGGAGGGTCCCTTCTAAGGACATGCTCACGTTCCAAGAGAACAGCTCGTTTGACTTGAACGGGGATCGGGATGTTGCCTTGGTTCTTCGTTTGGAATTTGAGGACCGCTAGGGATGACCCACAAGGTTCTGCTTCTGCCGGGAGCACATTCTCTCCTTCTGGTCAAGTTAGTGGTGTCAAGCAACCAGGCGTCTAAGGCAAGAGGAAGATAAACAGGGTCCAGCCATCGGGATGGACACTTGGCAGGCTGCCTTTGGAGTCTTTCCCATCAGCTGCAAACTGTAGGTACCTTTCTATCTGCTAATCTGCCTAGAGTAGAAGTAAGCAGGACCAATATACTTGTTTAGTCTTTGTTGGAAACTCAAATATATTACAGTTTCCCAGCATCTTCAGGCCACAGTTTTGTAACCAAATAGAAGATGTGAAGGGATGTTCTGGATCAAAGAACCTCCGGCCCTCACTTCCTAATTCAGGTTCTGTCCCACGGTTGCTGGGCCCCGCCAGGCACGTCACAGAACATCCGAGAGGCGAGGCGCCTGGCGGCCTCTGACCTCCCCAAGCTTGCGTCCTGATGGGCCCAGCCTGGGTCACTGCTCATGGCGACCCACCGTGGAGGCCACCGGTTGGAAAATGTCGCCTGACTGTGACCACCACTCACCTCCTCTGTGGCCTTCAGCTTGGGTTTTCGACGTTGTTTCTGGGCTTCGCCTGCTCTAACTGGAGACTGCCACCCAGCCAAGCACCTCTGTCTGTCTCCCTTGGGACCCATCAGTATGCAACCTGCATGTTGCACTTACCAGTTTAGAGACCGTGCCCTGCTTCCCCAGCACCGCCATTAGACTAAAGCCCCAATAAAGCAGTGCTGTCTGTGTCTCACCGCTGTGTCCACTGGCCCCTAGAACCAGAGCTGACGCGGCAGACGCTTGGTCGGTGATGGGAGGAAGGAGTGCGTGGCTTTGGGGGAGGGTGGCCGGAGCTGGAGGAGGAACAGGACTCTCTGCTGGAGCCCTGGACCAGCCCTTGAGGGTGGGGGAGAGTGGCACCCACCCCCCGTGGGACTGAGTCTGGGGCAGATGCAGCTTCCTGCTCAGCAGAGTTGAGCCAAGATGAGTTACTGTCATTTCTTGATTTCACTCAGTCTTTCTTTTCCAAATTGCGGTGCATTTTTACCACTTCCTCTCTCTTCAGGGCTGTCTTGGCTCAAGTACTCAGCAGCAGAGTGTCCTTAGTCGAGTGGACTTCTTGGACAATATTTCTCTTTCTCTCTCTCTCTCTCCCCCCCCCCCCCCCCCCCCTTTTTTCTTTTTTTACTTTTTCGAATACTTGGTGTCTTGCTACCTTCTTCCCCTAAAGTCACTGTTTCGACTCCTTCCCAGCAACCGTGAGCTCAGCTAACACCTGTGGCGTGTGAGAGAGAGCCAGCCCGCATCCGGGGTCAGCTGAAATGAATGGAGCCCCACCCGCTTCATACATTGGGGGACCCATCTGAGAAGTGCAAGCCGAGAGAATGGGGGCCCCAAGCGCAGAGAAGGTCAAGAAGGCGGGTCAGCCGGATTGGGTGGGTGAAAACGGGGTGCCAGGCCCTGCGGGCTGGGGTAGCTCCCGGAACTACTTAAGAGACAGCGCCTTTCACTAAAGCAAAGCCCAGTGCAGAGCTGGGGACTGACAGGAGCCCGGAGGGTAACCCCGCTCCACCCCAAACATCTCAAGCTGGCAAGGTGACCAGGACAATCCAAGAGGCATCAGCAAGACAAACACAAACAAGACCCCTCCCCCACCCCTTCCCAGCTTCAACAAACAAACACAAACCAAAATAAAGCATCGAGAGAGAGGAGAGGCACCTCCCCACCCAGAGGGGGTGGGTTAACTCAACAGCTATTCAGTCGCGCTTATGGGCCGAGCAAACAAATATCCCAGGGTGCTGTTTTGCTGCGCACCAGGCCTTATGCGGGATAAAGAGACGAACCCAGATCCGTCCCTGACCCCACGGAGTCCACTCTGGAGATTTGCAGGGCGAGGGGACTGCAGTGGCGAGGTGGGAGTTGCAGGGGCACCCCCTTTCTGACCCGGAGTGCTTGGATGGTCTTCACCATCTCTGGGCCCCACCGCCTTGCCATGGGGGGGTTTGCTCAGCCCCTCCTAGGCCTTCTCAACACCTACTGCTCCAGGATCCTGGTTCTTGGGTCTCTCAGTTTCACTCTTTGACCCTCTCCTCTGGGCTCTATACCCATCGCACGGCCGTCTGGCTGCGGGCCCTCACCCTCTACTAAGGACGTCTGAGCCAAAGTGAGCCTACAACTCTCGGTGCCCCACTCACACCTTCTTCTCCTCCTGGGGCTCACGGGCGTCCAGGTATCGTCTTAGTTGGGCTCTGCGCTCAGGGAAGAATTCAGCGTCGGCCACTGGTCATCAGGCCGAACACGGCAGAGGAGGGGAGCTGGGGGGCGAAGGCATTCCCAGCACAGACCAGGGTGAGCAAGGCCCCGTGGGACGTTTCGTGGAGTGTCTGGAAGTGTCTGGAAGAACAGGCAGTTCTGTGCGGCTGGAGGGAAGGGCGCAAGGGACAGATGAGGGATGAGACTGAAGGCGTGGAATCGGCAGACTTCGTATATGCCTCAGGAAGTAGTCTGGACTTCACCTAAAGGGCAATGGGGAGCCACTGAAGGTAGCAGGAAGATAGCAGGCCAGGTTCGTGCCTTAGAAAGAAAATTCCAGCCATGGCATGGAAAGTAGAGGGGGAGAACTGGGGAGACCAGCCGAGGATAAAGGGTCTGAACCTGGGCAGACAAGGGAAGGGGACAAAGGCGGGGCAGAGGGAAGCCCACAGGCCCGGTCAGGTGGTCGGCAGAAAGAAGATCCTGGGATATTCTGGGGTCCCGGCTTGGGAGCCGTTCACTGATGACCTTGACCACTGGGCTGACCTCCTGGGGAAGACCCAGACTGCCTCAGCCTGCCCCCACCCCTCATGCACACCAGCATGCAGACCACTGACAGCTGGAGCCCCTCTGCCTGGAGTCTCCCCGCTGCCTGACACTCAAGAAGATCTTCTTGGCCAGGCTGAGCTGCAGTTACACGAGATGGCGCAGTGCGCTCTAAGAACCCGCTTGCTCAAGACGACGTGCATTTTCTCTGGGCTGAGAGCATGGCCTCAGCCCCCCGCCCCGCTCCAGTCCAGTGCCTCTGCCCAAAAGGTTCTGGAACAGGAACTCCTCCCCCCCACCTCCTCCGCACCTTCTCCTCCCCACCCTTCTGAGTCTCTCCAATCTAAATAACCCACCAGCATATTCATTCATTCACGCCCCTCAGGCTGTCACTTGGCAGTTGTTCATCTCTAAAATACAGGTGACCTATCCAGAACTAGACTGGGAGAAAAATCCACAGCTACTCTCCGGGCAGAGCATGCCTTCCTCCTCAGTTAACCATTAACCAGCCTCCGGCTCGGTTTGGACTCAGTCACAAGTGACAGGAAACTGCGGCAGGCCTAAATAAGAGAAGAAATGGGTTGGTTCGTGTAGTTGAAAGGTCCAGAAGCAAGCTGGCTTCAGGCAGGGCTCCATCCAGGAGGTGGTTTATTCCCTCTACTTGCTGTTGGCGCAACTCTTGGCAAGCTCCCTCCCCTTAAGATGTGGGAACCCCTATTAGTCACAAGTATTTGTTGACTACTTAACTTGTGCCAAACTTCTTATCCAAACCTAGGAAGAAAGGAAGTCTTAGGGGGCGCCTGGGGGGCTCGGTCGGTTAAGCGTCTACCCTTCTGCTCACGTCATGATCCCAGGGTCCTGGGATCGGGTCCCGCATCGGGCTCCTTGCTCAGCAGGGAGCCTGCTTCTCCCTCTGCCACTCCCCGTGCTCGTGCTCTCTCCCTTTCTCTCTCTGTTAAATAAATAAATAAAGTCTTAGAAAAGAAGGAAGGAAGTCGGATGTCTTGGCATTGAGACCCTGGCCTTAACTGGCCTGATTTAGGTGCCCATTCTTGTGCCCACTCAGCCTGGTTCAAGTCCATCTGAGCCCATGTATAGAGGCAGTGATCCCCTCCCGTGATGAAGGTTTGGGAAATGTGGTAGGAAGGCGGTTGAGAAAGGGGAAGTACCTTCTCGTTTGGGCCTCAGGGAGACTTTGGGGTCAGGGCACTGAGGAAGCGGGCCCATGGCTGGAGCCCCAAAAAAGAACCCCCAGGCCTTGGGGAGGGGTCCCAGCAAAGTCAGGGCCCAGCTGCTGGGCAGACCCATAGACCCTCCCCCCCATCACCACGGAGGCAAACTGAAGGTTTTGCCTATGATGCAGTTGTCCTGACCCTATTACACCTACGGTCCGGGAGTCACTGTCAAGAAAGACCATACCTATTTGCAGATGCAGATTAAGGTCCTTGTTTATCACAGGGCCATTTACCAGATGGAAAACCCAAGGCATCTCCCTACCTGTTCTTTACACCAAATCAGCCGCACCGCTGGGATTTCCCAGGCCAGCACCCCTACTCAGGGGGAGGCAGAGCCTGAAAAGTGCACCCTAACGGGCACCTTTCACCTTTAGGCACTTTCTTCTCTATATACGATGTGGCTTGGAAGACACTCCCGCTTTCTTAGGAATTGTTTGTGGAGAACTCTTCCCAATCAAAGAGCCAGAAATGAGCCAGCCAGTCCATTTTTCACAGTTCCCCCCCCAACCACCACCCGGAGGCCCCAACCCTGGGCATGTGCAGGGAGCGGAGGGTGAGGCCTCTCCCTGCCAGCCCGGGGTCTGTCTGACCGTCCCACAGGCACCGGCTCCCCCCTCCAGACCCTCGGAAAGGGGGAAAACATCTGCCTCGTGCGCTGCTCCCCGCTCCCGGGGCAGTGGCCCTCTCCCTCAGAATTGTCCCTGCTCCCTCAGCTAGAAAGGGACACTTGGCATCCCCCCCTGGGCGAGGTATTTTAATGCTAATTTGTTGAGTCCAAAAGATGAGCCCAAACAGATGTGGGCCATTTGGCGGGGCATGTAGTTCATTTGTTAGCAAGTGCAAAAGCCTCTTTGGCAGGATATTAAATATTACCTTGGCCATTCACAAACACTTCATATTTCAAGAAAGGAAGGGAGGAAAAGGCCGGGTCCTATAAATCAGCCTTTCAAAGAGGCAGAAAGAGGCAAACATTTGATAAATCTATGTCACTGTAGCGGGAGATCAAAGGCCCTCACATATGTATTTGTGTATCCAGCATTCCAGCGGACAGCTATCCCACACACACCGGCGGCCGGGACCGCTCGGCAAGGAAAGAATTAGCCAACTCTAATCTGCCATCAGCCGCCACTGTGTCTCGGGAGAGGTCCGGGGGGGAGGGGGGCTGGGAGGGGATGGTGGCAGGCGACCCGGCGGGGAGGGTCGTGAGGATGGTGCCGTTGGGTCCCTACACCTGCTCCGAGGCGAAGGCCGCTTCAAGACCACCGTTATCGGTGACAGGCCGGCAGCCCCCCAACGTCGAAAAGATAAATATACGTTGGCTGTTGGGCACAGCAGTAAGTCAGGGTGGCCGGCCCCGTCTGCAGGGGTCCCAAGCCAGCCCAGGGCTCTCGGGGTCTCGCCACCATAAGCCTGACTTCCTCCTCCCTCTCCCACAGCCCTGTCCCCCTCCTTACTCGTGCATTCACTTTTGCCTTCGCCCCAGCTTGCATTTTCACGGGCAGTCATGCTGATCATTTGGAACCACCGGTGGCTCTTGAAAGGCCCGGTGGCCCCAGCCAATAGCTCTTGTTCCGGTGGCTGAAGTGTCGTCCGTCATGGTCAGTCCGTGAGCGTGGACGTGCTTCTGGGCGGCCTCTGATGAAGGCTGCTGGGGCAGGACCGTCCATTCCAACTTCAATAGGGTGCTT